TGAACGTGTGTGTATGTGTATACGTGTGTGTGTGTGTGATGTCTCTTGATCTATGTATACTTATGTAAACCATGTATCATACAGACATGATATTAACCATAAACCCCTACCGATATTTACATAGGCACATCAGACGCAGCACACTCTCCCGTACACCATATCACCATAGCAACTACACCCACACACACCTTCGGGTCATTCCTGCACTCCTCCTTAACCTCAGTCAGGAACTCACACCAATCCGTCAACGAGTTGCCCTTGTTTTCTATATCGCCCATTCTCAGATGCTTCTCATCAATCACCATGCCAGAGTCTCTGCGTGTATCCTGGCCCACCCCTTCTGCCATACCCAGTAGCGTGTCCGGCTGGTTCCTACTGCGTCTACCCATTTTATCGTGTGTTTTACTGCTGTTGCTATGGTTGTAACTCTTATTCACTAACAATCTCTGGTCTATGTTCTCCTTGTTAGCCTCGCTTATATTCTGCATGCGTGTATCTAACCTAATCTTCTTACAACTAAGATTGTTGTCTCTATGTTGTCCATCTCCGCCTTCCCCCAATTTAGGCGTAGATGGTATCGAATATACCAGCATACTCCCATTCGCATCCACGTTACCTACATTGGTGTTCAATTGCAATACGTGTGTATTTCCCGACGCATTTCCATGTACATTATTAGTACTACCATGCATATTAGAACTATAATTATTATGTGTGTTGGGTTGTGCATTCATATTCGTGTTAAGACTAGCCTGTGCCTGTGTATGCTTGGTAGCAGCAGCCTTTGCGGTCATACGTCTGATACGTTCCTGTAGTGAGCTGTACGACGTGGTGGGCGCAAGAGGCTTCTCGTCTGCTGCCCTCATGATGCATATTATAATATATTATAATCGGTGCATATACTGCAATACATCACATGAAGCACGCGTGCACACGTGCATGCATACACACGATAGAGCGTGAAATAAGACCTACTGTATGTATAGTAGCAGTTAGATAGATAGCTGTATGATGTCTGTACACGCTACGCACACTTGTGTTACCGTGCACTAGTCCTGTTTTTATTTCCCATGTTCAGAATCAAAACAAGACTAGGCAAGTGTACAACTATACACGTGCATATAATATATATAAATGGTTGTATTCATATACATATGCATGTACGTGCACATATGTATGTGGATGAGGCAGCGTGATTCTCCGTTCCTGCACTCTTCCTAATAGCGGTATATAAAATATAGATCGATGAAGGTCTATATATACGAATCTAAAGTCACACACGGTACGGGTGTAACTATATCAACATGTATACATATATATGCATACATACTTCAATTGTATATCACGTATCTATAATCACCGGAGAAGTATACACACTGGTTCAAACTTTAACTGTCATACTTTGTTCCTAAAATAATGTCAATTCGGTTCGTACCCGCGCAGTAAACGTTGAACGCAACCGCAAAATTGAGTGGTTTTTATACGTTTCAACGTAAAAAAGAGAAACTGCGCAATCGAGAACTACAATTCACACGAAAGTATTACTATAACATAACCGTTTATCCATCGTGAAACGATTGATTTTTAAACCGTTTTAACGAGAAACGAATTGAGGCTTAATGCTTTGCTCCGTATTTTTCAACGGTCCGCCCGTTGGAGTGTCATTATTTCCCGCGCAGTCTATTTTTAGAAAAGCAATGACACACTATTACCGGCAAAGTGAACGATTTGTATTTATATATAAATGTAAATAAATATCACACAAGAGAGAGACTAGGTCACCCTAAAGGAGAGTCAAGAGTGGTTGTTGATGACTCTTGTTGGTATCTATTTTTTATCAACGTTCATTTTTACTTTTGTACCGATGTGTGTACAATAAATCACCTGGATGATGATGATGGAAATATGGAGATAACGAGCCATATTCCTACCTTTGCAATGAGCTTGAGGACCATGCTGTACTGGAGTTACATATATGAATAGATTATATGCATGTATACTCCTACTTAAACGGGAAAACTCAAACAATCCGAGTATTGAAAGGTCAGTATATGGGGTGGAGCCACTAGTAGATGTCAGATAAATTTGGCTGTGTTTGTAGTCGTCATATGCGAATATACACATCAGACTACATCAAAACACAGTGCGAGTTTTGCACTCCTTCGACCTAGCATAGCCTATCAAATATAATACTAATAAATAGCTATAGTTAGAACTTAGTTGAAAGTTGTAAATATCGCAAAGTTACCACCTTATATAGAAATGCATATATGTGTATAAATCCAACCTATCTGATATAGTTCTTCTCGACCCCACCGTGTGTCTACAGACTGCGCCGTCAGAATCTGCACCTAAACTTCTGGGATAAATACAAGTGCATTTCTGTGCTTAATTACACCTCCTTGTCTGATATATTGTAGGCGTGTACCTGTAGAGTGCCCTGAGAACAGCTGCACAGTATGAGTCAACCAACAGAAATTAGCCAGGGATTCGGGTATGTACGATCACCCAGATACCATGATCAATATTCTCTAACATGTGATCAGGCACAATCTTTACAGCTATGTATAAACGGTCTCATTATGTTTCGTCACATGCAGAATATCTTTATGAACATGATTTGGCTATGTTTTTGGTATGTCCGTTTTGTATAATCGACTGGTGTCCTTGTGCACATGTCCTTGCCTTGATAACAGGTTTCGGATCTGTTATTTTTCAAAGTATAAGTATTTGTTCAGCACTTTAGAACTCAGGTCGTATACGGGGACTGTGTGTATATATACATATATATAATTGGCTCTGTCTCTGTGTGTGTGTGTATGTATGTGTGTATATATGTATGTGACTGTGTGTGGGTGTGTTTTTCTGTGTTTATATATATATATATATATTACTATATATTCTTATTCTTATTATTT